TTATTTTTCCTATCAAAATAAGAATGCAATTCTTAACCACAGGAGTGGGGTGTAGCAGTTACCCTGCCTGGTCATTTAACCAAGCAGTGGTGTTTTGAATCTCACTCTTGGACATAAAAAGCATTCCGTGGCTTTGAAAGGTCCACGTCTCTTATTTCAGCCCATTTTGGGAGGCACGTCCCTCATTCTGATAGGGAAGCTATCATCAAAAATTAACTACTCATTCGATTCTAAATATAAGATCTTTAAATATAAAGATTTTTATATTTAAGACGGGAGGAATATTTAATATAAGAAAGTAATAACTAATTTTAAAAAATCATGATTAATTTGGGTGAGAAAAAAGGATTTTTTTTTTGCTCTTATTCGAATTAATATAAGAAGTTAACAACAAATTTTATAAAATTCAGTAATAGTAGTAATGTGTATAAGCAAAAGGTAGGCTCTGCCGGCCGATGGCCAATAAGAGCACTGACAATTGTTTTGATAGGATGCTGAACTTGTGATTCAAAATGCAGGGGAGCCTGGTAAAGTGATAACCTTGTCCCCTCCGCCTGCTCCCACACGTGATTCACGCACCTCAAATGCAAGTAGGGCCCACGGATGACAACGACAACTCCCCCGCCATCCCACCGGCAACCAACATCTTTTTATTACTTCTGATTCTAAATATAAAACTCATTTTGTAATATAACTTATATTATAAAATAGATATTATATTTAAAACTGGAAGAGCGTCTGTTTATGTTAAGGGAATATGTGTTTCCTTTTTCCTTCCTCCACACGGCCACTCCTATTGCTCTCGACCTCATTATTAAATCAAAATTGTAACAGAATTTCTCTTATAAATATTAAAACCTTCGCTAATGATAAACATAAAAAATTGACATCAAGAATAAGGGGGGAAAAAAGAAAATTAAAGGAAATGAAATGCCATCCCCCCCCAAATTTTGTGAGTACTGTTTTCCTTTATTCCCGAGAAGGTGAGCAACGAAACAACTGAACCTTGTTTTCTTTTATTTGTTTTGGAATCAAAATGACGTGGTTTCATCATTTATTCATTTTACATTTTTAAATAACAAAAAATTGTATCGGATTACCCCAAGTCATTTTGCCCTCCGGATGGTCGTTTAATTACAACAGGACCAACCAGATGGTCAATTAAAGTTCAAGGTCAACCCGATCTAGTCCGAGTCTCATGCAATACAATGCATGATACACTCAAATTTCAACATGGATGTTTGTTTGAAATATGTGTTTTATTAAAGTAAAAGAAATGAAGGGTATTAAAGAAGACAATTAAAATGTTTTATAAAAAAAATGTCATATTTATTATAATTAATAAAACTGTTTACTTTTTTAATATAATCAAAACAGAAGAATACTTTCAAAAGTACGTGAACTCCACTAACCAAGATGATGGGTTAAATGCATTGTACGGAAAACGCTCAAAACGAAGTGAGGGATTGGAAGATGTTTGATTTTTTGGGAGCTTTGCCGCTTTTATACATATCAATGTTAGCCTTCTATATATAAAGTTGTTTTGCCATTTTCAGAGGCACGCAAGAGAAAATGTGGCGCCTTCCTTTCCCGATTTAGAACTTGTTCTTGCACCATCATACATACAGACACTCTTCATTTTCAATACTCATTTTGAAGTATAATTTATAATATAAAATAAGTCTTATATTTAAGACAATAAAACAGAAGTATAATTTACAATATAAAATAAGTTTTATATTTAAGACAAGTTTTTGCTCGAGACTAACGTCACCGCATTTTCAAAACATAACAATATTATGACACGTGGTTAAAAAACTGAATTAAATAATTAAAATATTGATATTAACAGTAACGGTAACGTTTTAACATCTTCAGGACAACTTCGGACTCAAAAAAAGCTTTTTGAGATGATACTGATTCTAAGTAAAAACTCGGGAAGAAATTTTCACCTTAATCCTCCACAGATATATGTGCTCCTTCATTGTGAATTTTAAAACAGATGCAGATGGTGTGCGAAAGCATAGATTTCTGAACAAATCATTAAAAATATCAGAGAGCAGGAGGAGTGGCATGCAAGCTGACACGTAATATTAAAAGACAATTGAGACGTTTTGAACAAAAATGAGGTGGCAGTCGTCATAGAACAGCCAAGAACTTCTCCATCACGTGAAGAGTGCCGATCAAGGACCGGCCTCCCGCCCATCTGCGTCCTCATGGATCTCCATATATATATATATATATTCACTAAAATAAATAAAATAAAAGCCCACGCGTATGTATTTCTTTGTGTAAACTTCCCGCTCCCCCCAAAAAAAAAAAAAACAACATCTACGTTTACTTCATTTTGGGCTGGTTTGATATTTTAGAAGAATTTTCTAAGAAAGCGAGATAGGAAAAATAGGTGAATGGAAGTAAGGTTAAAGAATGTGTGTGTTTGTCTTGATAGGTAAAATTTCATCATGATTTATACGAAGAAGAAATCAGCTGATGTGGTTTTTTTTTTTTTGATGATGATGCTCCTCCAACAAGCTTCGTCCTTGATGAAGCTCTATGAACTCAACCAACACTCGGAAGAACTGAAAGGCATGTTTAGATCTCTTAATTATTATTGTAGTGTAGTTAAGGTGATGTGAGTCTTAAAAATTTTATCAAGTGTCATAAAAGAATAAACATATTTTGCTGACTTATTAAAAAGAAGAATTACAATGAGATCCTAAAAAAAGTTTACAAAATAGATCTCAAAAATTGTCATTTTTATTATAAAACGCATCATTACAGCTTACTTAGATTGTTATTAGGGCTTTTTAATAACTATTTTCTTTTTTTGGGACCTGATTATAATTCTTTTTTATTAAAATTTGGCGCTGACGATAAATCACATATCAATCCATAAGCATATATTGCCTGAAGTGATATCATTCAAAGAAACCTGGGAATGAAGAAAGAAGAGGATAAGGATTCAAACGACTTGGGAGTTGGGAGAAGAGAAAGCTAAGGGGAGGATAAGAATGCCATTGATGAGTGCCTTAGGATGAGTTTGCCAGGTAGATAGATGATAAGCAGAAGTTGAGCACAGGAAGAAATAATAGAGATAAGAAAGTGCTTAAAAGGAGTGATGATAAGAACGCCAAACAAGAAATGCATCAATCAGATAAGATACTTAATTAAGAGTACCAGGTTAAAGGTGCGAGTATGATAAATATAAAAGTAATTGTGCGTGAAGACACCCAGTGTGATAAGATTTCTTTAATAATTGTGCCGTGCGTATCACTATAAGAGAACGTCCAGTCATATGTTTAGTGTATAACTGTGTATTGTGGATGGTGACGAATTAAATATTTTTTTATGCATATTCATGTGTGATTTTATGCCAACCAGTACTATTGAAGCTCTCTACGTACATTACATATCCTCCTAATTAAACATGAACTAATCTAAATCTTTCAGACCTCACAGTGGGTCAAGTCAACGACCTAAAAGCTCTCCTAGAATATTTATACAATAAAGAACTTTGATCTAGTAGTTTGATATTTTAACTTTTGGAAAATTTTGTTTTAAAAACATATTATAGTGATTATGATATATTTTGAGTACGTACTTTGCATTTAAGTTTATGATATATTCTTAAACTTGACGTACGTTTGCTTTTGATATTTATGCAGGACCTTAGCAGGAATTGATATATCTTAGCTATGACAACAACAACCACACAATAATAATAATTTGGAAACAAAATACTCAAGGGTTTAGCATATGTGTCTGAATATTTTGGGGGATCTCCGATGGAATCTCTCTCGTACAATGAAGATCTTAAAAAGAAAATCATAAAGCATTCACACCCGCATAACTCCATAAGCATCATGTCATGTCTTATTGATACAGACACATTTCAGTGTCATTATTGACCTATGTATATACTCCTTCCGTGCTAAACACATTTCAATGTCATGTCTTAGTCAGTAAAATAATTTTAATCCTAAATATAAAATTTAAATAATTTTATCTTATATTTATTATTTTTAATCTAACTTATGAACTAATATGTAATATAATATTGTATAAAAATATTTCAAAAAAATCACATCACATTTATAAAAATTATATAATTTATTTAGCTTATTTAATTTAATCTATTCACCTTAACTAAGTAGTTATTTCAAGAAAATTATAATAACTTGTGGTCATATCTTTTTGTTGTTTTGGCCACCACTTGTGGTCCAATCTAAAATATTCAAGGGTCCAAGTTAGCGACAACCTTGTCCATGCATGTGCGCACGTCACGGTCTCACTATTTCTGCCACCCTGTTGTTTCACAAAATCGTCCTCTGCAATTTTTTTTTTGTCAGATAAATTAGTCATTTCCTTCTCGTTTTCTGTTGGATTAAAAAAAAGAAAAAAAGAATACGTTTTTATAACGAAACTGCAACATACTTTTAATAAGAGGGTAACAGAAAAGTTGAAAAAAGTTATAGTATATTTACACTATACAAACTAAATATTATACTCCTTATGGACTGTTATAAGAAATAAAAATTTAGTCTTTAAATGTGTTTTAAAATGATTAAAAAATTTTTATTTCTCCACTTAAAACTGAGAAAATTGCTTGTAATCTTATACTTTTATTATCTCTGGTCTCTGATCTCTCTGTCCTCTATTTAACAGGGACAAACATAAAAAAAATCATATTAATTATTTTAATAACATAATATATTTTGGATCACAAATTTTTTTAACCAGCTTATTTCTTTACGGTGGGGAGGGACTACTTAGAATAGGAAGCACTGTTAATTTTTCCCGCATGAAATTTCAAAGCGATGGGTAAAAGGGGCAGGGAGAGTAAAAAAAAAAATTTGCTGCGTCAGCTCCGCGTTGGAGGCCGCGAGAAACCAAACTCAGACGAAAATCCGTCCAGGTTCAATGAACAGTACAAAGAAGCCTTGGCGTCTGAAGTAGTTCCGTTGCTGTGTTTTTCTATATATGGAGGCGCCCTTCTCCGCTTTGTTCACCAACAGATAAGCACTAGCCTTCTTCTTCTCATTCCTTCCTTATCACAACACATTTCCCTTTCTCATTTTCTCTGTTGCATCTGAATCACCGCCGTCCATGGAAGAAATAGATGTCGCCTTCGTCCAAGAACCTCACCACAGACCCAACCCCTCTCTCATACAAGAGGCTCAGGGCATCCCTCTCATTGACCTCTCTTGCCCCGACGTCGACGCTCTCGTCGCCGACATAGGCAATGCCTGCAGGCAATGGGGCTTCTTCCAGATCATCAACCACGGCGTTCCGGCCGAGCGCCTGCACAAGCTGCAGGAGTCGGTGCGGAAGTTCTTCCTTCTAAGCCTCGACGAGAAGAGGAAGGTCAGGAGAGACGCCAGGAATGTGCTGGGGTATTACGACACAGAACACACCAAGAACGTCAGAGATTGGAAAGAGGTGTTCGACTACACGGTGCAAGAGCCCACTCTCGCCGCCGCCTCCATCGATGAGGATGACGACGGAGTGGCTCACTGGGAGAATCAGTGGCCTGAAAACCCTCCTGAAATGAGGTAAATTAGTTACACTTAACACTGTGTGTGTGTGTGTGTATCATGATGTGTACGTAAGATGTTGAGTTAGATCTGTAAGTAATGAAAGTTTTGTGATGTGAACCATGTACAGAGAAGCGTGTCGGGAATATGCAAAAGACATGGTGGAACTGGCCACAAGACTGATGGAACTAATCGCTATGAGCTTGGGGTTACCGCCAAGGAGGTTTGAGGATTTCTTCAAGGACCACACCAGCTCCGGCAGAATAAACCGGTATCCGCCGTGTCCAACGCCGGAGCTTGCTCTCGGGGTGGGCCCCCACAAAGATCCAGGGGTTCTGACCATCCTTGCTCAGGACGAAGTGGGCGGGCTTGAGGTGAAGAGAAAATCCGACGGCCAATGGGTTGCGGTAAAGCCCACACCCAATGCTTTCATCATAAATCTTGGGGATGTTCTTCAGGTATGGACGAATGGAGAATATGAGAGCGTAGAGCACAGAGTGATGGTGAACTCAGTGAAGGAGAGGTATTCAGTACCGTTCTTTCTGAATCCTTCGCATTACATAATGGTGAAGCCATTGGAGGAACTGACCGGCGAGCAAAACCCAGCCAAGTACAGGCCTTACAACTGGGGGAAGTTTGCACTGACGAGGAAGCGCAGTAACTTCATGAAGTTGCAGGTTGAAAATATCCAGATTCACCATTTCCAGAATAATGTTCAGGCCAAGAATTATTTACCAGATTGTCCTAAAATTGTCGTGTGATGAACATGATGAAACGGTGGCCACTCAATGCTGCTGATCAAAGAAGATAAATATGTATTTCTTTTGTTCTTTTTTAACTTGGCCAGCCACGTGTGTGCATTGATAAGTATAATATATTTAGTTGAGCAATGTCGGGCTCACAATATTAACGTGAGGAGCACATTTCATACATATTAATGATGGTCTACGTTGAATTTAAATTTTTTTATAGAATAGATAGAAAATTAAAACAAATATAATCTTACAACTAACACTTTTTTTTAAAAAAATAAATTTATCGTTAAAAAAATTATATATTAAATTTTTTTAATTTTAACTACTTATATTAAAGTTTACATAGTTTATATTGGAACGAGTTTCAGTGCGAAGCGGCTTGATAAGCACAAGGAGCTCATCACCGCAACGCACCGTGTCATTAAAGTTCGAATTGATCTTGACCGTTGGATGATGAGCGATCTAAAATGCTGAAGGTGTGGGCGATTTCAATCCTCTCTCTTCGTTCCCCCTTCTTCTTCGGCATCATCTTCATGCGCAGGTAAACACCTGATCAATAATCTCAGCAAGATGCTTCAGGAGGTGCCTATAAAGAGTAGGTTTTGAAGGATCTTGCTTGATAGTTGGGGTGTAAAGTGCTGCGACTTTGACTTCTCTGACTTGAAAAATTCATTGCCTTGATCTTTTAGAGACATTTGTTTTTTTTAATTTAGCTTCTGCTTCTGCTGAGACAGTCGCCATTGGTATTTTTCCTTCTTTTTTTTTTTAATGAAAAGGCAAAATGCATTAATTAAATAGAGATACAGATTTAAAGGTTCACTACACTAGAAAAAAACAGGACTAACCGAAGCAGCTACTTTAAAAAGATCAAAAGTAAAAGTCTAAGAGCTGCAGAAAGTCCGAGACGATAACATCCCGTGATTGTGCTTTGCGGCAGATTGAGACTTGCTTTTTGATTGAGAAAATATCCTCTCTCTGTTTTTTTTGAATGGCTGCCTCCTGAAAAAGAGAGTCGGTATCCAAACCAAAGCTGCCCTTCAACAACAGCGGAGGAGGTTTCTGTTGAAACATTCGAGTTTTCCCCAGGGGACTTTGATCGAAGATTGGCCCTGGTATTTTTCTTCGAAGAGGAAGAGAAGCGAAAATTTGGAACTTGCATATTATTAGAATAGAAAAAAAATAGAACTTGCCTTGAATGGAGGGAACTTCGTTGACTTTATCTCAGAGAACGACGTCGCATGGCAATTAAATAGAGGGAACTCGTCCTTGACTTTGTTAAAACGGTGCGCATAAATGATGAGCTCTCAGGGCTCATCATCTTGCTTAGCACCGAAACTGGGTCCGTTTATATTGTATTATAATGTGTTCATTTGTTCTGATGAATTCTGAATAAGAAACTTATTAATGCGTGGAATGATGAGTTTGGGCGATGATCATGTTTAGGCTGTAATTCTTTTTTTTTTTTTTAAATAAGAAACAGCTGTCAATTTTACGTATATTTTAAAAAGAAATATTTTTTTATTTAAAAATAATTAATTACAAATTTTTAAGTCCGGATCTTTCCGTGTTTATCGCGAGAGTGCTCATGTCCATAACGTGTTTGTGGGGAGGCTGTGTTCTCTCTCTGCGGGTCTCTTGTACAGTTTGCTCTGAATCCAATAAAAATCCGATTATTAAAAAATAATAAACTACTCCCTCCGTTCCTTATTATAAGAGACGAATAACCGAATTATGTTGATAAAAAAACAGTTAAAATTAGTTAAGAATAATCAATATATAAAAAGTATAATTTTTTTTTTCAAAAATACCCTCATTAATAAGGAGAGAGAGCATGAGAGAGAACAATTAAATTATTAAAAGGAAGAGAAGTGGGAGGGAGAGAGAGTGTGAGTTGGAGACAATAAATATGGATAAAATAGGAAATCAACACAAAAGAGTAGAAATAACTTTTAAGTGTCTCTTATATATAGGAACATGTTATAAGCATCAAATGCCTCTTATAATAAGAAACGAAGGGAGTAATATGATGGCGTGCGGCTCGAAGACTGACTTTAAAATGGTAAAAACAAAAGACTGACTTTTTTTCTTATACTCTACCGATTTTTTATATAAAACTTAATTAATTTAAGTGATAAAAATATAAATTAAACTAATTAATACTGTATGATATAAGTCTCGGTGTTGAAGCATATGGGCGGGCGGGAACCGAACTACGAAGGTAATTTGAAGCCACAAGACAAGGGCAGCCATGTGTCAGTACTCTCGTCACGGATCTCTCGTGAAACAAATGGAAGCTGCCAACCCTGCCATTTCTCAGCAAACCCCACCACTGCCTCTCAAAGTCCGTCCAGGTTCAATGAACCTTGTTACCCATGTTAGGTGCGAAAGTCCACACCACTATTTAATTAGCAAATTAATCCCGCAAGTAATTTGAATTTTTTGACCAAGACAACTAATCTGATTGGCCCTTGTAAAATACTACTCCTCCGATACTCATTTAACTAATTTGATTACATTAAGAAAGTTAGGTAGGTTAGTTAATTATAAAAAAAATGATATATTTTTCCTAAAATACCATAATTATCTTTCTTAATACCTCTCTCCCTCTTCTACTTGATTATGGTTGAGAAAGTATCCATAAGGATAATTTAGAAAAAATTGATAAATATGAGAAATGGATCTTATATTTATTACTAAAACCAACTCAAAAATTGGGTTCTATATTTAGGACCGGAGGAGTATAACCGATGGATCACATGCATGAGCTTCTTTATTTTTTATCCCTTGAAAAGGGCAAATTTATACATAATATATTTTGAAATAAAAATTTATAATTTTAATGAATATGTGTGTGTATATTTTATATATGTATATATGTGTGAACAGGTTTGGTCCTAGGCCTTGAATTTGAATCCATGTGATTGCAAAGTTTTTTTTTTGGCCAGCAGCAAAGGTTTTTTTTTTTACTGTATCCACAATGTGCTTAAACTCTTAATCATATTTAACTTTAATCCTTTCCCAAATACAGATAAATAAGAGGAAAGAAGAAGAGATGGATTCTTCTGCGTTTTGATTCCAGTAAAGCTGCTAGAGTTTTTGGTTTTTGAAAAAAACAGCAGTGAAAATTATTACTCTTGGCGAAAAAAGAGTGGTTGGTATTATTTTGTTTTTAATTATTATTTTGGTGAGAAAAAAAAACAAAAAGAAGAGTGGTTGGTATTTTTTTGTGAGTCTTTTTTTTTGTCTTTCATTGACAAGAAGTTGAGAAGGGAAGCCATACACGTTCCCAGCACGCTCACCTGCGCCATTCTGTAAACCTCATCCGTATCATCACGCTCGTACCAGACATCCGGCCCCCAACCCATACATTAGTGCCAAGTTTATTTTATGTTTTTTGCTCCTCGTAGTTCAAGTTCTTTGGCTTTTAACATTTTTTTTATTATTTCCAACACTCTAATTCTTCTGTTAATTTTCCACTATTCTTTCACTACAATCTTATTGATATTTGAAATTTATTTTTATTATTATTTTTAATCTTAACTTCTTAACATAATTGATATATAAGAAAAATATATACAGCAATAACAATGAATTTACTTGAAATCAAATCCTAAAATGTTAATAGTACCCTTAACGCAGCCCTTATAAAAGGAAATGATAGGGTTTGAATTAAGAGAGTGCTTAATTCAGGAACACCGGCTTAGAGAGAGTTATAAGAGAGGAGGATTTTGAGTTCCTAAAGTAATAAAGAAATTAAAATCGAATTTTGAATTTGTAATTAGCAAGGTTTTTCATAACTTGAATGAATTTAAGCCAAACCGATGAATTTTTTAGAGGATTTAGAAAAGTTTAAAACTTTTGTTCCATTGTACATGAGACGAAAAAGTATACTATGATATATAACCGAATAAGAATGTTTCTGGCATCATAACAACGACTTCTTTATTTCTTTATTTCTTTCTTTTTTTCTTTTTCCCTAATCAGCGAATGAGTTAAAATTATTTCCATCAAATCAAGAATATTCAAATTGGAAGCATCAAATTATAGGTGACAACCTCGTCCATACAAAGAGCAGACGTCACTCACGGTTTCCCGTGCGCTAAAGGGAATATGCAAAACTCATCTTTTACGCATTTCAGGTCAAACAAGTTGTTTTTTTAAAAGCTCTCTTTTTTTAATTGAAAAGGGCAGCTCACTTTTTCCTGTCTACTTTTTTTTTTTTTTTAATTTGCATTCCTTCAATTTACCGTATTATTAAATTCAAACGCTATAAATTTCTAAAACCATCTAATTATAATGAGAATCATTAATTCCTTCAAAAATGTTATAGTTGTTTAAAAAAATGGGAAAATTGCATGCATTAAGTTCTCACCCATCATCTAATTAATCTGAAGCCACAAAACACCTTATTGCAAGAGATTTCACTTGTTTAATCACTAAGTCACCCTCATTTTTATATAATATATTAAATAAGGCTAAAGTTAAAAAGTTGTTGAATTTTAAATGAATAAGACCTTTAAAAAATTTTTTGGTCTATGTAAAATATGTTGGATGTGACTTATAAATAGAACAAGAGGAGTAACTAACTCAAATATCCACAACTCTTGTATATTAAGAGCAGAAAGCAGTATTATGTAATGCCTTGAATTCAAAATATAAGTATTTGAAAATAAATGTAATTTTATACTTTATTTATTATTGCATTGAATTTATTCTCATAGGACATGATGTCCATTAAATAAGAACAAAATTAGAAAATTATTGAACTTTAAAGGATAGTTAATGAAATTTGAAATTTTTCTTAATATGAGTGAAATATATCAAAAAAAAAAATGGTATGAGCAAAACATATCAAAAGTGACTCGTAAATAGAAAGACGGGAGTTTTAAGAAACGCATGCAGTTAATCCATTTAAATTTGGATCAAATTGTCAAACTTGCCCCTAATTAATGTGTTGGATACGGGGGGATACTGGGAAAAAATAATAATTAATGTGTTGGATACTGGGAAAAAATAATAAGGGGAAAATATTAATAGACGGTGCTTTAATTTTTTTCAAAAAACATGTAAAATTAAATAAAATTTTTGAAAAAATCTTCTAATACTTACGGGATCTATGTAAAAGAAGGCGTGCGTGAGACGCGGGGTAAAATTATGAAATTCATTCGGGCAAATGATAAAAAAATCAAGGAAAAATTACAAATAAAACCCCTTAATATGTAAAATTATGATTTAAGATCCTAAAGTTGAAAAATAGCAATTAAAGACGGGGTCTCACTTTTACAAATATGAAATATAGGTAAAATGTCTGAAATACTTCTCAGTCAACTTATGATTTGGTCTATTAAAGTTGTCATTCATTAAAATGAACTCGTCATTTCTCATAGTCAATTAATCATTTGGCACACCCCTAGCCGAGTTATGATTTGGTCTACTAAAGTTATCATTCACCAAAATGAAACTGTCATTTCTCATGGTTAACTTGTTATTTAGCTGAGAGGCATTTCAAACATTTCACCATGATTTTATATTTGCAAAAGTAGGACTGGGTCCTTATTTACTATTTTTCAAATTAAAAGTCACAAATAATAATTTTACATATTAGGAGTCTTTACTTGCAATTTCCCCAAAAATCAATGTTCAATCGAGTTGAAAATTTTTGGTCAAAATAAAAAATAAGAGTATAAAGCCAAAGATTTGTTCCAGCGCCATGATGATGTAACGGCCAACGTAACGTCCGACCGCTACAAAAGCCCGTCCAGGTTCAATGAACACTGTGCAGTAACCTCATTGCTTAGAAGAGGACGCTTGTTCTATAAATAGCGGCGCCCTTCTCGGTTTGGTTCACAAAACATAACGTTTTAGCCATCGCCTTCTTCCATTCTCATCGTTTTCTGCGTTATTAGTATCAGATTCACCGTCTTCGATGGCAGACGTAGACGTAGCCTTCATCCAAGAACCTCCACACAGACCCAACCCCTCTCTCATACAAGAGGCCCAAGGCATCCCTCTCATCGACCTCTCTTGCCCCGACGTGGACGCCCTCGTCGACGACGTAGGCCATGCCTGCAGGCAATGGGGCTTCTTCCAGATCATCAACCACGGCGTTCCGCCAGATCGCCGGCACAAGCTGGAGGAGGTGGCGAGTAAGTTCTTCCACCTGAGCCTCGACGAGAAGAGGAAGGTCAGGAGAGACGTCCGGAAGGTGTTGGGGTATTACGACACAGAACACACCAAGAATGTGAGGGATTGGAAGGAGGTGTATGATTATGCGGTGCAAGAACCCACTCTCGCCGCGGCCTCCCTGGATGAGGACGACGACCGAGTGGCTCACTGGGAGAATCAGTGGCCTGAAAACCCTCCAGAAATGAGGTAAAATAATTAGACATTGTATATACATCACGATGTTGAGTTAGATCTGATCTGTAAGTAACCAAGTGTTGTGATGTGAACCATGCACATACAGGGAGGTGTGTCAGGAATACGCGAAGGAGATGGTGGAACTGGGTAAGAGATTGATGGAACTAATCGCTATGAGCCTGGGGCTACCAGCAGGGAGGTTTGAGGAATTCTTGAAGGACCCAACCAGCACCATGAGACTAAATTATTACCCACCTTGTCCTTCGCCTCACCTTACCCTCGGTGTGGGTCGCCACAAAGATCCCGGAGTCTTAACCATCCTTGCTCAGGACGACGTCGGTGGCCTCGAGGTGAAGCGAAAGTCCGATGGCCAATGGGTTGCCGTCAAACCCATCCCCAATGCCTATATCATTAACGTCGCCGATGTTATCCAGGTATACACTCTCTCTCTCCCCCATTAATAAATAGTATGAATGAGAAAATATATATATATGTATATATATATTGAGAGTGTGAATGAAACGGACAGGTGTGGACGAACGGAGAATATGAGAGCGTAGAGCACAGGGTTATGGTGAACTCGACAAAGGAAAGGTTTTCAATTCCATACTTTTTGAATCCTTCGCACTACACAGTGGTGAAGCCCCTGGAGGAGTTGACGGATGAGCAAAACCCAGCCAAGTACAGGCCTTATAAATGGGGCAAGTTTCAACTCAGGAGGAAGCTCAGTAACTTCATGAAACTGGACACCGAAAATATCCAGATCCAGCATTTCAAGGTTTAATTAGTGTCTGCCGTACTATTTAAGCATATTAGTCCAAGTATAGAGTGAACATATTGGAATGGAGCCTTGGCGTGGCCGTGGTGTTTGATGATGATATAAATGTAGGTCTTTTTTCTTTTATTTGTGAAGTGATTGTATTTACTTGAAGAGCAATGGCATAATGAGCGTAGCTTGTGGTGTTAATTGCGCCTTTCATTTCTTCTGCGCATTCAAATATTTGTTAGGAAATTACAGAATCAGTGGGGACTCAAGCCCCGCAGCATACCAACCTTAATGCAGGCCTATTACCCGTCTGCCTAATTGAGCTGTGAGTACCACTTGGGCTTCTCGGCCCAAATATTAAAGAAGGATGGTAATTTGGGTTTGGGCCGAAGTACAACATATGTAGTTTGTCGCAAATTCTATTGTTGAAATTTAAAGCCCAATGCCTTGACATCTGGTTCCGCGGGGCTCCGCTTGTGGAGATTTGTTACTCCAGTAGCCCACTACTCTCTTTTTCATAAAATATTTTGACGTTCTCTGGTTTTTTTTTGGGGGGGGGGGGGCCGCGGGGAAGGCAAAATGATGTTCAACATTTACAAAGCAAACAAGGTCAGAGAGTCACAGTAGTAGAAGTTCTCTTAGGGTGTGTTTGGGTTACACCCCAAATCATGGTTTGGGGACCCAAACCATGGTTTGGGGAATAATCTACCCAAACACCCCCTCCAAAAGCCAAAACCATGGTTTTGGGTCAAAACCATGGTTTTGGAAAAAGCAAAATTTTTTTGCTTTTGGAGAAAAAAGAGAGAGTGTGAGGGCCTATATGATATGTATCTTGTTATTTTTTTATAAACATATTTTTTTATAAATATATTTAATCTTATATTTTATAAATATATATACACATTAATTAATTATTAATTATATTATCTTATGTATTATTAATTATGTTGGTAAAAAACATATTATTAACAATTTTATTCATTCAAATTAAAATACATCATAAAATCTATTTTTTCTGTAATTATCATATTAACTTATGTCCTTTTTTTAGTAATTTGTATATATAAAAGTGCTTCTGATAACAACTATCCAAACACTTTCACTTCTCAAAATCACTTTTTTACAAAATCTATTCTTCACAGAATCTATTTTCCTCAGAATCTATTCTCCAGAATCACTTTTCCAAACCACGGTTTGGTTTCATCCAAACACACCCTTAAGTCCGACTCAGAAGTTAACTGCAATTCAAAAAACGGAATATGGCGGTGAATGATCAAAGATTTGAATGTAACTTCCACTTCCTCGGTTCTTAAATCTTCGCGGTAGTTGATGTATTTATAATTTTTTTTTTCTTAAGCTATTCTTATATTAATTATGAATATGATGAGGGGTTTTCATCAATAGAATAACACTCAAAAAAGAAATTTTTGAGAAACCATTCTATATCTATTTATTACAAATAACTAAATTAACTAATTTTTTTAATATCTATAAATTAGTTATATAGTTTATATATTTAGAATAAATGTCTAAAACTAAGACTGTGCAATGTATCCCTAGTGCCAAATAATTAAAGAATAAAAAAATTATTCACTTTATTCTTAATATAAGAATTATTTGATTGGTTTGAGTACATTGAAAAAACTGAATAAATTACTTATTCTTGATAGATGTGATAACATCCCCCCAAAATACTCTTACATAACATTATATTTTATATGTACATATATATTCATTTATAAGTTGAGTAGATGAATTTAAAAAAATAACAAGTATGATAAATAAAATAAATTAGTAATATTCTATGAGAAATAAGTAAAGTAATAAAATATTATATTTGGCATCAAAACCAATTTTTTAATTAATTTTGGCATTTATAACCGGGAGAGTATTTTCTATCAAACGAATTTGGAAGAGAAAAAGAAAAGCTTGAATTAATTATATTATAATAGAACAAAAGGATGTAAAGCAGCAAAAGGCAATAAGACAACAAGTGTGTGAGACGCATCGTCACTGTATCTCATGTCATCACATGCTCATGGATCCTTGTCTCCAACTTCTTTCATCAGTCTCTGTCCACATCCCAACCAGCATTGCTGGCACTCAGCATCCTCCGTGATCATAACATATCACCTTTTTTTTTTTTTTTTAAGTATAAACAATTACTAACTGTTGCCCATTATTAATCTCAGACATATCACCGCTCCCCTTTCTACTTTTCTGCTTTTGGCTGTGAAATTAAAGTACCAATTGTGAATAAACATCAAATAAAGCAAAGAATCTCATTCACATATCTTTTCTTCTTGTCCTCGTTTGACCGTTTGAGTTACCATCCCCACCGCCCTTGCTATGGAAAGTTCATGTCCCCTTGAATAAATAATAGGAAAAATTTACAAAATACAAATTTTTTGTCTTTTAATATTATAATTTATAATTTCTTAATACAGTATCTTTTATCTCAAATTAATGTTCCTCTTTTATCATAGGTTTCGTCCTGTCAGGCTTTACTACTGGCCGCATCTCTACTTTCTTCTTTATCTCAAATTCATCTCACAAAAGTTTGGCTACAAATTACAAACCACAAATAGTTTTTTAATAAAAAAATTTCACAGGTTGGTATAATTCTGATTTGAAGCGGCCCCCAGCCTCAAACAACGTTAATTAATGATTAAGGATGTCAGTTTCTTGATAAGGCAGAGCATATGAATCATAGTAACTGGATATGTACTGGGGGTGGCGGTCTTTACTGATTTTTTTTTTTTAAATAAAACCACCTCTCCCAGTTGTTTTGGTGACAAAGCAAAAGGTTAATGGTGGGCCCAGTGTGGTGGGTTACTTATTACTCGCGATATTATCTACATGCTCCGTTGCTACTAAGCTGGAAAAAATGAGAATTCCTTGGGTTGATTATAAAGGAATATTCGGGTCTTATTGAATAATTTAAAGCAGAATGTCTTAGGTGGCAATTGGGGGAATTATTTTAATCTATATCGATGTACATCTTAGTGTTATATAATATATATCGATGTACATCATAGTGTTATCTATAAAGCTCTTGTCCCTTCCTTCCTATACTCATTATAATAAGAGCTATTTAATTAATCTGAATATTTTTTTTATCATTTTTTTATTTTTAAAAGAAAAAATTGAAATTACTCAATCCCAAATAAAAAATTCTTATAAAAATATGTTGTTATTTGTAAGTTCAGAATCTTGTCAAAACTTATTAACATATTAGAAACAAACTTGATTTAGGATTTCATAATTTTAGACTTTTTTAGTAATTAATTTGACATGATCTTCTTAAAATATACCCGTGTAATACTATATTACATATCAATTTATAGCTTAGAAAAATTAGTTTAGAAAAAATAATAAATATAAAAGACAAAATAAAAAGAAATCTTATATTTACAACAAATATTTCTCTCCCCTAACTACTTTATTTGATAAACGATTTAATGTTTTAAATCTATAATTATAAATATACACTGAAAAATGAGAATCACTTAATGGGATGTCCATCCACATCAGTTTTTTTTTTTTTCCTTTGGATTTCTTTCACTTATAATTTAAAACTCACCACTTAAAAGAACTAGTGTAATACAAACCATTTGGTATGGAACAGTATTTATTTATTTATTTATTTGTGGTTTGGCTATGGATAACTAACAAGTCATTTAATCATTTAAGTTGAGAGAATCTGGACTGAATCCGTATCAATCCACTCTCAAATTGGCGTCTATCTCATTCTTGGCGCAAGGCAGATTTTTCAGAGCAGAAGGTATCATGCCCCATCCACAAAAAAAGGGAAAAAATCTCGCGCTTCAATCCCCACCTGAAACATTAATAATACCGATTTAGTGTAATTTATACCCATTGGCTTTCCCCATTAGTCATTAATATCCGATACAGGACCCAACGTCACATGGGGCCATCACCATTCCATTTGATTTGTCTCCTCTTAACTTTGGATGTATGCTCTGTTATTTCAAGCTCTGATACTTTTCTGACGATTCTGGATTATCATTGGCAGGTAGCGATTGGAAAAAGACCTAATTATTGATCTGGAAATTTATCAGCTTCATCCGTGAATTCAATTCAGAGAATTCGAAGCCTCGAAATTCTCCGAATTTGGGGATAACAGCGGCACATAATGCGAATCAAACCACTAATTAGCGGTTGCACAGAGGAATTGAAACTCATAAACAAGCTGGACTTGTTCGCGCGCCCAGAAATCGCTAAACCAAAAACAGATTACAAAGAATACAAATCGGGAAACAAAAGGTGAAGAAGAAAACCAACACTCCTCAATTGAATAAATCTACAAGAGAACCGAAACTCAGGTTCATCAAAAGGGCAGCTCGAGCTCCATGCAAACAGAACCAGAGATGTATATATATAATACAAACAAAACACAGTAGCTTAAAAATTAACAAAGGTTTGCCATCGATGCTCTATACAGATTCTGAGAAGAGAAAGACGAAGAGATTAGTGAGGGAATCAGGGAAGAAAACCAGAGAAAGGAATAGGGGTAGCGGCACGATTGAGACTGGTGAGAGGCTCGGAAGTTCGTTCTTGGATGACGACCACAGTTTCAGCGACGATGATCACGAACTGAATGGCCATCCTCACCAGATATATGCAGAGTTCGATTCTCTTTATCACCATATCCTCGGTGCTTCTAATTGATCCGTAAGAAATCAGAAAAGTCTCTTGTGACTTGTGAGTGAAGAGTAAAGCTTCTGAATGGCTGTGCTGGTTATTTATATGACAAAACAGCTTGTTTTCCCTGAAACAGCGGCAGGTAAATCACTCACGATTCTTGCCTAATTATCTTTCCACTAATCCAGTACAACACGACATCTGTATTTGGTTCGTAACTTTTGTGGGTCCCGACATTATTTTCAAATTAGGCATCATATGTCATATGAGTGCTGTAAAATTAATCAAGTTACTTAATTACTTAGGTAATTTTTAATTTTTGTGGATCATCCCTCTGTGAGAGAGAGAGAGAGAGAGATAAAATTCTAGTAGATACTTCAGTTTAAATTCTTAATATAAAAAAATTGAATTAAGTATATCCAACACTCAAAGTATTTTTTCATATACTAAAAGTACATCCAGCACTCTAAAATATTTTTTTAAATGTATTCAATATCTTAAAGTATTTTTTCGTGCATCCAACACTATAAAGTTTTTTTTTTTGGTACTTTCAGCACTCAAAAATATTTTTTGTGTGTGCATTCAGCATTAAAACAAAAAAAAACACTTCAAGATACTAAACAGACCACAAAATGCTTTACCTTGCTTTCATTGTTTTGTGTAAATCATCTTCCATTTATGCAACTTACCTTGCTTTGTGTGCAAACTAATTTTTTATTGTGCAATCAATTATACTAGAAATCATTTGCCACTTGAATTTGTAATAAATATTTATCCCCAATTTTT